AGTTTCCAGCAGCAGAAGATACATGTGAGTGAGGCAGGAGAATAACTCCTTCAGGAAGCAGAATGGAAGCTACTCCGTTCTGGATTGGAAAGGCAATGTGTAGTATGAATCTTAACAGTTCTTATTAATAAGATCAAACCCGAGACCAGTTATTGGGGGGAACTGGAAGCTCCGAGAGACAGAACAAGCCACAGCTAACCTCACCTTGCCAATCCTCAGCTGGTCTTGTTTCCTCAGACTGGAGGCCTCTGAGTCCTCATCCAGAATGGGTCTCAGCTGAACTGTGCTAGAAGCCTGAATGCTTAACCAGCCAAATGCTTAACCAGTCCAAATGCTTCTAGTTTCTGGTCCTCACACCTTATATACCTTTCTGCTTTCTACCATCACTCCCTGGGATTAAAGGCTTGCTTTCTGGGATTAAAGGTGTGATGAGTCACCATGCCTGTCTGTATCCTTGAACACATGGATTTCTGCCTCTGGAATGCTAGGATTAAAGGCATGTGCTACCACTGCCTATCCTTTATGTTTAATATTGTGGCTGCTCTGTCTCTGACCCCAGATAAGTTTATTAGCATGCACAATATTTGGGGGAACACAATACCACAGCAATGGGCATGAAAGTGGTGTGAAAAAGCGTCATGGATTCCTGGCAGAGAGGGGAACACAGACAAGAGCTGCAAGAGATGGACTCAAAACAAGTTCTTCTCCTGCAATCACAGACCAGAGTATTTGAAGAGATAAGCTAGCAGGGATGTGAAAGATGTCGACATGGAGAGGAGGAAGTGATAGACCAGGATCCTGGGAATAACAAGACGGTGGTACCTAAGTCCAGAGAGCACCGAGCCATGATGGGTGGGTGTTCCTTTATGTGTTTATGGATCAAGTGTGTGGGGGTGTTTTTGACAGGGACTCTACTCAACTCAGGATGGCCTGAGACTCATAGAGATTGCCTGCATCTACTTTCCAAGTGCTGAGGTTAAAGGTGTGTACTATATGTGTGTTGATATAAAGAAGTTGGATTTCCTGCCCACTCTCAACTGCAGGCATCTTCTCAGTAAATATGTCCTGTGCTAAGTGGCAGGACCATTTATTTGGGTTAAAACTTGGACCAGTGGATGTGGGAGGTGGGAGAAGACACTGATGAACACTGATGAGCAGTGCCCAGAGCTGGTTGATGTCATTTTCTCTGGCTTGCTCAGCTGCTCTGTTGGAGGAAGAAGCATTCATTCAGGGCGGACCCATGCTGGGATCTGACCAGTGGGATGAAGGACCTACTTTCCAATAACTGCTGAGCTTGAGAATGATTAATCGATGGGTCAAGGACAGCAAGAGGATATTGATAGCAGTAATCACGATGGTGCTAAAATAGGAAACGAAGAGCTTCAAACGCTGAGGCTCACTGTTGCTTAAAACCATTAACATCACATACCACTCTATGATTTAATTAGAACACTGGAAGGAAGGAAGCTTATTGATAACAATACAATCTTGAGAATACAAAGGCTTTAGTTGTTGCTGGAAAGATGAGGAAGAACAATGATGAACATTTATAAATAGGTTATCAGATAGGCAGGCAGGCGCACACACAGCAGTAGAGCCAGGGAGGAGGAAGGACTCAAATTAGATACTGACCAATGGTGTACCTTGTTTTCATGAATTGAGCTCCTGCCAGGTCTACTGGCTGTGATATGTTTTTAATGGATTAATGCTCATAGAACATAATAACTAACTTCAGTGATAAGATTACCAGAAAGAATACACACTTTTTATTCCCCCTGCTACCCACCGCCCCTTTTTCTTGGCTCTTTGGAGAGTCTATGTAGCTCAGGGTGGCCTCAAATGCTGGGTCTTCCAGTTTCAGCCCCTTGAGTGCCAGGATTACAGCTGTGCACCACCACACCCAGCTCCATGCTTCCTCTAAGAAGCTGAACATACTCTCTATGTTCTTACTATACTAAACTACACTGTTTATATGTGTAAGAATTAGGTTTAGTCATTCGTCCAGTTAGCTGCAGCTATCAACTTGACACAGACCAGAGTCATCTGAGGGAGTCTCAACTGGGGGATTGCTTCAAACAGACTGGCCTATGGACATGTCTGTGGGCCTTTTCTTGATTGTTCATTGATGTGGGCAATATGAGCACTGGGCAGATGGCCCTTGTTTATATATTTTTAAAAAAAAAGCTGACTTAGCAACAGCCAGGAGAGCCTGCCAGTATCATTTTCCCATGGTTTCTGTTTCAGTTTTCTGCTGTGAGTTCCTGTCTTGGCTTCCTTCAACTGTGGACTAGAACCTGTAAGCTGAAATAAACCCTTTCTTTCCCGAGTTGCCTTTGGTTAGTGTTTTATTATAGCACAAAATAACTAGGACAGTCATCTAGGTCGAAGTCATGGTGGCCATATATAGAACCCATCATCAGTACCTCATGCTCAACAGCTCTTACTCTGTGTCACCAACTCACTTGTTTTCAGAGCACACTGAAACTTTTGTCCCTGTTTTACCCAGACATGACAGCCCCACAGAAACCAATTCCACAACAGAAGGCAAAGCAAGTTTCTTTATCAATATTTAAGATCATGTATTGATGCAGGGCATCTTCTCATACATTATCTCATTTGGTCCCCACTAGAGAGCCCTGTGAGGTAGGAACTAACTCCCCAGAGAGCACCTCCCCAACACTACTTGTGATACTGTCAAGTTGACAGGGTTTAGAACCACTTAGGAGATAACACTCTGGGCATGTCTGTAAAAGAAGTTTCTAGATTAGATTGAGGTGGAATGATCTATGAGGTCCTGGACTGAATAAAAAGGAGAAAGTGAGTTGAGCCCCAACATCCATCTCTCTCTGTTTCCTGGTTGTGATGCAATGGGATTGGCTCCCATGAGCTCCTGCTGCAATGATGGACTGTGTAAGCATTGCAGCTTGGATAGAAAGGTATCCTGGTAGTCAGGAGCCAAGGAATACCACAAAGTCACTGCAAGTATAGCAGCTTACAGCCCTGCTCCAGGGAAATAACCACATAGAGACTTATCTTGCTCGCTCTGTGTCTCATGGCATCATCTCCTCTGACTTCACCCTTCTACTCCCCAGCATTCTCTCCCCGAAATTCCTGCCTAGCCATCAGCCAATCAGTTTTTTTTTTTAAATTAACAATGAGAGCAACATTCACAGTATACAGGATTATTCCACAGTATGTTACAGGCTCTGCTCGCTTAAGGGAGTTTCCCCAGAGAAAGTCTTACAGCTCTGCTTAGGTCCCCAGGAGTGTAACAACTCTGCTCCTTAGGGGAAGGTTTCCCCAGCGAAACTGTTACAGCTCTACTCTGCTCTAGTGAAAGTTGTTACAGCTGGGCTTCACTCCAGTGAAAATGTCATACCACACAACACACCTCACTCAAGACATTTATTGGGAAGGAAGAATGGAGGAGGGTGGCTGCCTCTAGTGAGGCAGCAGCAAACTGAGCAGGTACAGAGCTTATATAGGGTTCCTTGGAGGGCGGGGGTGGGGGGAGATGGGTGTGTGTGTGGGACTTTCCAGGGTAGTTCGTGATTAGTGGGATTTAGTGCTCAGGGGGCTCCGGGATTGGTGGGATTTCAACCCCTGTTCCCAAGCCAGGGTCAGGGTGTTTTTCCTTGGCCCTTTTCACTCTACACTACAGACTATACCCTCAAACTGTGAGCCAAAATAAACCCTTCCTTGAGTCGCTTTTGCGAGGTGTTTTAATCACAGCAATAAGGGAAAAAAAAACTACACAATGTAGTTTGGAACTGTACTATAAAGAACTATTGGAAAAGTGAATTCTCTGGGTAAAAGACAACAGACACCCAAATATTGCTGTAGATTAGTTCCTCAGGTAAGGACTCTAAGGGTGAAACTTACAAGAATATCAAAAGTAAACATTTTTCTCTGGAGCAAGTGTTACACTGAAGAAGGAATTCAAGCCCTAACGGGGTTGAAATAGATGGTTTGGGGGTACTGACTCTGAGCCCACAACTCTTTTCCTTTGTATTCTCCATTTCTTCCAACTTATCTCTCTTCCCTTTATACACTAGCAAATTTACTGTTTCCATTCAATAAACGTTTACTGACCCGGAACCATCAATGCAGCAGCTTTATATTGCCATTTAAATTTATTAAAATTAAGTAAAGTAAAAAATTTGGTCCTTCAATTCTGCCAATCTCAAATCACATCTCAAACACATTTAACAGCACAGATTGTTAAGGTTCTATTAGTACTGTATTGGACAGTTAATGTAACAAGAATGAAAATCTTCCAGCAGTTGGGAGGCTGAGGCAGGAGTATTCTGAGCTGGAGGCCAGCCTGCAGTACAAAGTGAGAAAAGAAAAAAGGGAGACGGAAAGAAAGGACTGGGAAAGACAGAGAGAATGATTAGAAATGAATCTATGTCTTTGACTTTGAGATCCGAAAGCTTAGGAATGAAGGAAAACTAACTCTTCCCGTAACCAAGGATTTGTGGCCACGTGGTTCCAGCTCCTAACATCACGACGTACGTACCATTATTATGCCCACCGGAAGACTATCACAGGACCCCACGACCAAGGTACGTGAGCTGCAAAGGAACATGTGATCCAGCTTGTGTTTGTGGGAGTTCAGAAAAGGCTGGAGGCAAGAAGAGATCAAAACTCATCTGTCTACACCTAAGTACTCCCCAAATGGACCACTGACTCCCTACACTGGAATTAATCTGTCTACAAAGCCCATTCCCTGCTTCCCATCGGAAGCTCTGCGGGAGGACGGAGTCTCCACCCCGAAGCTCCACACTCCGCAACTCCCTGACTCGGGTTCCTCCTGAATGCCTGTTGCCTGCGGTCGCACCGGGATCCAGACAGCCGCCAGCCTGTTTCTCCGCGTGTGGGCCCGAGTCTTGGCTAGTCCGCCCGGGCGCGTCACCCGCCTGGCACACAGAAGCTTGGAACGCCCGTCCCCGCGGGTCCCGCCCGCGTCCCGCCTGGCCGGGCTAGCGGCGGCCGCCTACCCTCGCAGATCTGCTCCCACAGGTTCTTCCCCGGCGACTCGGTGACCTGTGCGGGCGACACAAGCCTTTCTAGGGACCCGGGCGACACTGGGGGCACGGGCGTCCGCGCAGTGACCGACGAGTCCGCGGAACCTCCCGCCTCCTCGCGCAGCACACCGCGGTTGGACACCTGTCTAGGCACCGCCATGCACGCGGTTTCCATAACAACCGTGGGCACCGTGAGGCCGCGACCCGGAAGAAGACGGCCCTCCCGGGGGCGTGCCAGAAACGCGAAGATGACTTCCGGGTCGCGGCGGCGCGGGTGTTCACGTGGGCAGGCCTGGCCTGCGGGTGGACCAGGTGAGTGCGGGTTGCGTGGGCCGGCCTCGGTGAGTGGGGCCTGCACGGTGAGGGAGAGGAAAAACAAAGAAAGTCACCCCCAAACCTGTCCGCGGCCCTCGGTTTCTCCCCAAGCCTTGGAGTCGGCCCGGGGAGGATCCTGGCTAGCAGCCTGCGGTTGGTGAGGACAGCACACGCTCCTCTGGGTTCGAATCCGTGTTCTGCCCCTTGCTGACTTTGAGACTTGGTGATTTAACGTCTCCGAGGCCTATGAGTTTTTGGGGTCACACCAACTCTGTCTGAGGCCTCCGCGGGAATTTAAAAGTGCTTTAAGACAGGGCGTACGGGCCCACATCTGTAATTGCAGCACGCGGGATGCTGAGGCAGGAGGATCACGAGTTGCAGACCAGCCCGGACAGTATAGCCAAACTTTATCTGAAAAATAAAGCGCTTTTGAAGAAAGCATGTGTTTCTAGGTGATGCAGTGTAGGTTCGTTTCCACTGATGAGAGTAGATACCTGTACAGTTCCAGGGCAGTAAAGGAGGGAGGGTGTTACAGAGTGCTGAGTGGCAGAACCGAAAAGTGGGTTAAGCTGACTCCTGGGACTTTTCTTACTCCTCTCTTGACCACTACCCCCAATCGTGTAGCATCCTGGTCTTACCTGATACCACCCTCTAGGGGCTTGTATCTTCCTCTCTTTTGTGAGTCCCCTTCCTTCGGTATGCCTTGAGGCCCAGTCCGTTCCCTGCTTAATTACCATCCCTGTAGTCCTGTTCATGTCGTCCATGTTGGCTAGAGTCACACCTTTGCCTCAGACCTGTCCGGACACCTGTTCAGTGGGTGTATCAAGGTACCTGTCCAAGGCAGCTTGTTTCACCCAGCTGTCCAATCACTGTCAACTTTTGTCTGAAAGGTTGACATCACCACCCTTCTATTGCTCAAGCTAGAAAACCACATTCAAACATTTTCTTGACAACTGGACACAGTGTGTTGGTTAGTTGCATGTCAACCTGACACAAGCTAAGAGTCATTTGGGAAGAGGAACTCCCAGTTGAGAAAATGCCTCCATGAGATTGGTCTGTAGGCAAGTTTTGGGGCATTTTCTTGATTAATGATTGATGTGGGAGGGCCCAGCCCACTTGTGGGTAATGCCCCCCCCCCCAGAGGTGGTTTTGAATTGTCTGAGAGAGCAAGGTGGGTTAGCCATGAGAAGCAAACCAGTAAGCAGTGTCCCCCATGACATCTGCATCACTTCTTTCCTTTGGTTCCTGCCGTGGATTCCTGCCCTGACTTCCCTCAGTGATGGACTGTAACCTGAAAGAGTAAGATGAACTAAATCCTCTCTGAAAGTTGCTATTGGTCGTGTGTTCTACCACAGCAATAGAAGCCCTAACAGACAAGCATGTTGTGTGATTTCCCAATCCTGAACTTAACAGCCTTGCTTCTTTTGGTCCTTGCTGGGGGGAAGGAGGGTTGAGCTAGCTTCCTGTGTACCCCTGACTGGCCTGACACTCAACATGTAGACCAAGCTGGCTTCTAACTTGTGATTTTTCCAAGCTTGGGAAATGATGCCATCATGCGTGGCCTACCCTTCCTCCTATCCCCTGTGTCATCTTGTTAGGTGTCTTTCCCCCATCTACTTGCCTTTTGATGACTGGGGTTTATCTCATTCATCTCTGAATCATTAATAGTCCTGTAGTAAGTACTGACAACCTGCTATGGGCCAGGCACTGAGCAGCTCCAGGAATACATCAGGCAATAGGGTAGATAGGAATGGATGCATGGGTTTAGATATTACCAGAAATGTCCATGTAACCATAGAGCATGGGGTCTAAGGAGGTCTTCAGCCCTGAGCACTGGGAGGTAGCCTGTGGTAAGGACTTCCTCCTCTTCTTTTTCCTCCCTAGACTTGAACTGTAGCTCAGGCTTGGCCTAGATCTTTGAAGCTGCCAGGAATGACCTGAGTCCTGTGTGGACCCTGTGAGCTCAAAGCCAAGGAGTGCTGCAGGATGAAGTTGCTCCTGGCCTCCTAATTTCCAACCTTCCCCCGTCCCCACCCCAGAAATTTCTGATGTTTTGTCTCTAGATTCCCTCTAGTCCAGGGAGTAGCAAGAACCAGCCTGGTGACTGTAGTGAAAGCCATATATTGAGTCCTGCAGCTGCTTGTCATGAGTATTTCTATTTTCCCGAGGAAAGCTAGGTAATCAAGGTTTTTGTTTTTGTTTTTGGTTTTTTTTGGTTTTTTCAAGACAGGGTTTCTCTGTGTAGCTTTGGAGCCTGTCCTGGGTCTTGCTCTGTAGACCAGGCTGGCCTCGAACTCACAGAGATCCACCTGGCTCTGCCTCCCGAGTGCTGGGATTAAAGGCATGGGCCACTGCCGCCCGGCTGATAATCAAGGTTTCTAAGTGTTATTGCCACTCATTAATTCTTCACAGTCATGTTGAAATTGAAGACAGTGAAACAGGCTTGCAGACTGAGGCTTCCCCCAGTTGAATACCTTTTGGTATGGATTGGTAACACTGAGGTCCAGAGAAGCCAATGGTAGGAGGCAAGGAAAAGAATACCAGTGTTTGCATTTGGCCCAAGTGTGTGGAGTCCTGGCTGAGGCTTGTCAACTGTGCCACATTGTTTTGGTAGCTTGGGATGGTAAAAGTTGGTAGAGGGGGGGTTCATTCCTACCTAGTGTAGGAGCGCTATTTAAATGAGTCAGAGGAAGGGGTTGGCTTAACTGTGGCACTTCATTGGCTCTGGTGATAGTCAATGAGGAGGGCTGCTTGGAATTTCTCTCTGCTTCATCTGGTAGAAGGGAAAGTACGGGGCCAGCCAACAGCTTGATCACAGTTGGGTCCTGCAGTGCGGGCTTGGGTAGGCACTTGGTAAGTATCTGTTGAATTTAGGTCGGGATTGGGGGATTTCAGGAAGATGGTAGACAAGGTCTCAACAGGGCTCAAAGCCTTTTCTGCAGGTTCTCCAGCACCTCTTCAAGAATGGATGGATTATTTCCTCCCAGAAAAGGCAACTGACATTCAGAGAGATTAGGTGATCAGAGTCAAATTGAGTGAGTAGTTTGGGTTTGAACGAAGGGCCATCTGGATTTACACTCTTGCCATTTGAGGGTCTTTCCTCTTGCTCCCAGTGAATGGGAGTTGTTTCCCCATCTCCCTCCCTCCCCTGTGCCCCCATGTCAAACTGCCCACTCAGAGAAACAGTGAAGAACTTCAGGACCACAGCCTGCGAGTGGGTAAAATGATAAATTTGCATTATTTCTGTTTTTCTCCTCAGGAATGGTTACCAAGACTCAGAAAGTAGACCTGGGCCCCCAGCTCCCAGAGAAGAAGAAAAAGAAGAGGAAGAAAAAGAAGGTGGTTGCAGAGGTCACAGATCCAGAGACTCAATACTCAGTCTTAAACAGTAATGATTATTTTGTCGATGGTTCTCCTCCAAGGGCCACATCCCCCTCTAACAATGTGGGTGAAGGGCAGGTCTCTGAGATGCCATTGGGCAAGAGAAAGAAGAAAAAAAAGTCCCCTAGTGCTCACTTGGGGGAGCGCCTAGAGTCTGAGGCCTCAGGAGCAGGACGGAAAAAGTCCGCCAGCCCTAGAAGGCAGGTCCGTGAGCAGTCAGCAGAATGCCTCAGTGGAGAGAAGAAAAAGAAGAGGAGGAAGTCCTTAACACAGGCTACCTCCCAGTGCTCAGGGCTGAAGACCTCCCTAGACCCCAAACATGCTGAGAAGGTTAGCAAAGCTGGTAAGAAGTCCAAAAAACACAGGAAAGAAAAAAAGGTTCTGAACACTGAAGCCTTTCCTCCCCAGGACCCTTGGCTCTGTGAGGCTGGGGATGCTCTGCACCCATGCTCAGGGTGGGCAGAGGCCGGGGAGCAGGCAGCCTTGGGGCAGAAAAGGAAACAGGGGAGATCCAAAGAGCACAGCATGAAGAAGAAGAAGAAGAAGAGCCACCAAGAGGGAGACATCCTCCCAGTCCACTCCAAGCTCTCCATGGAGAACGGCCTGAAGAAAGGAAGTAAGAAGTCAGTCAGAAGTGAAACTTTGGACTATATCCCTATAGACAGCCCAAAGGCCTCTGGGAAGAAAGGCAAACCCAAGAAAAAGGTGGACCGGCCGGATGGTGAAGGGCTGGCTGGGAGAAGGAAGAAAAAGAAGAGGAAAGAGAGTGAAATAAAGGAAGACCCTGGGCAGGAGGAAGAAGAGGTAGGTTTCCTTGGGACCTGGGATAGGGTTGCCATGTGAGTGCCTGTATACATGTCAGGCTGAGCACTTGTGCCCCCCCCATGTGCGTGCATGAGAATATGTGCTAGAAAAGGGTAGGAGTTACCTATTTTCAAGTAAATTGGGTCCAAGGGCTCCTGCAGCATCATGAGTAGTACAGGTGTCCTTCACCATCCTAAATGGGTGTCCGTTTTTTACAGGAATGTCTTATGGGTTGTGTTCTTCCCACTTGCTGGCGGGAGCCTGATAGTTGGAGATAGCCTGGTATCTGCAGCTCCGGGCTGTAGGATTACATAGTGTGCCTGGTGCTCTGAGCTCTCAGCTTCATAGCCTGCTCCTGCCCAGCTCACAGACAAGGATAACGTGAGGATGAAGGGACTTTGTCTGAGGTTACCCAGCTGGGACCAAGTAGACTTGGGGCTCACACCCAGGCAGTGTTGCTTCTGATTCAGGAGACCCCTGAGTGTGTCAGGAGATGCCTGTGTGTCCTTTCCCAAAAGCCAGTGTTTCAGCAGTCCCTCTGTGATTGATGTTGAGCATTTACTAAGGAGCACTTTGGGAGATAGGGCCATCAGGAAGATGTTGCTGGTCTGCATCTACTCTCCCAGATGGGGTTGGGATGATGGGGGTGGCTCCACGTTGGGGCCTGCAGGGGGCTTCTGATTGCTGGCATCCTCCTAGCCTTGTCTGCATGTATTAGGCTCTGTTTGACCACACATGGCTCATCTGTGGAAGTCAGAAGACAATTTTGAGGAAGACCATTCTCTCCTTCATTATGTGGGTCCTGGGTAAACTCAGGTCAATCAGGCATGCTAGCGGGCTGACCCTACTACTCCTCTTTATTCAGAAACTCAGACCTAGGGAGATGGTTTAGTGAGTAAGAGTGCTTGCTCTGTAAGCACTGGGACCTGAGTTCAACTCCCTAGTAGCCACCTAAAAGCTATGCATGGCAGTATGTGCATGTGACCTCAGCACCGGTGGGAAGGGAGATTCCAGGAGCTAGCTTCTGGTCCTTTGAGAGACTCCCATCTCAAGGCAATGAAGAAGGGAGTAACAGACACTAATTGCCTCCAACAAAAAGTACATGCATGTAACACACAAAATTCAGGGCAAGAGGAACCCAGAGGTTTAAAGCTAGTTCCCATTTAATTTTAGGACCTCTTTCTCCAAGGAGACCAAGGGAAAGGTAGCCCCTCTGCCTCACATCTTCCAGACAGCCCACACAGTTTCCTGAGTCCCACAGGCCAGGAGTAATAGTATAAGGAAGGGTAAGGAGTGCCCCGCCCCCCATCTCATAAACACATACATGACACTGGGGCCAGGCACAGCATTCTAAAGAAAGAATGCAAAAGCTGTTGGCAGTTGTCATTTGCGGTGGCCTGGGGACTGCCCCTGGTCTGACTTACAGTTAGAGGGTACCCCGAGAACCTGGATAAAAATGGTTGAGGAGACCCCTCCTGGGCCGTCAGCAGGCTAAGAGTAACTCAGTTGCACACCAGCCATTGAGTCAGAAGACCTGGGTTGGAGTTAGCCCTGTCACTGAGCTGCAGGGTGACCTGGTTGTAAGTCCCTTTACCTCTCTGAGCCCCAGCTTCTTCATCTGTCATCTAGTTTAATGCCGCATTTGCTGGGGACATGCTTGAAAGGGAAAGTGCGCAAAGCTTCGTTGGCTGAGGTTCTGTCCGGGTGGCAGAAGCTAGTGCTGCTGTGCTTGCTCGTCTTTCCTCGATCGTATGGTTTACTCAGTGGGCTGCTGGGGCTGGGCTCCTTCACAGCTTGCCTGAGTTACTGTCTGCCTTCCCTGCAGGAGTCGGACACAGACCTGGAGGTAGTACTGGAAAAAAAAGGCAACATGGATGAGGCCTGCATAGATCAGGTATGGCCCAGCTGTCCTGTGCCCTCCCTTACCTCTTTCTCCCCCTAGGAACCCTCAGCACCCATCAGGCCACAAATTCCTGGGCTCAGAGGGACTAGGGTCTCCGAAGGCCTCTTGGCCAATTCCATGACACACCTCTAGGGGCAGGTGGACTCGTACCCTCCTGCACCTCTGGCCTCGGGGGGTCCCAAAGCTTCTGTTACTATTTCTGAGGGTCCTGACAGGCCCTCCCATGTAGCCCATTGCAAGGTGTCAGGAAGGTGGGGTCCTATGACCCAGTCACACCCATGCGGTGTCTCCACTAACTCAGGAGCTTGAGAGAGAAATATCTTAGAGACTAGTTTCCACTCTGTCATGTGCAGATTCCTGTGTGGGATTTAGACTTTGTGGAGATGGGATGTTTTTATGTTCCTTGACCCTAGGGCCTGGCAGGACTGAGGAGCTGTGGGGGCCTGGTGTTAGTCCGTGGTTCACTGGCTGCTGACCCTTCTCTTATATGAGTCAGCATGGGTCTTTACGGGCAGCTGTGGAGACCAAGGGGAGGGTGTATTAGAAGGAGTCACAAGTCCAGATAGATGGCAGCTGGTCCCCATGGTGCCTGCTGAGGCAGCACTGTGACAGATCAGATAATCCTGCCTCACAGGTCCTCATCTCCACCTTGGGAGAGAGGAAGATGGAGGCTGTGTTTAAAAGTGGGTAGGGTCTGAGGAGAGCCACCTGAAAGAGGTGGTGATATGCTAACCCTGCTATAGTGCTGTGGGTGTCGGGGAACTACACTTGCCGGAGAGAGATGCATGCTATGGCTAAGGGGAGGACCAGAGGAGTGATGCTGCCAGAGCCTCTCTCCAGGGCAGGCCTAGACCGCTGGCCTCCAGGGCAGGCCTAGACCGCTGGCCTCCAGGGCAGGCCTAGACCGCTGGCCTCCAAGGCAGGCGTAGACCGCTGGCCTCCAGGGCAGGCGTAGACCGCTGGCCTCCAGGGCAGGCCTAGACCGCTGGCCTCCAGGGCAGGCCTAGACCGCTGGCCTCCAGGGCAGGCCTAGACCGCTGGCCTCCTGGTAGCTCCTAACCTCCAGGGCCAGGGATGATTTAGTGGCCTAGGACACCTTGCCGAGGGGCCGACCATGGGGCCTCAATTCTCCCAGGCCCTGTCTCTTGGCAGCTTGGGTCTCCTTAGTCCCCTAAGATAGCCAAATGCTGGGCAGCCCCAGCCATCCAGCACTGTGCAGAGCTCTTGGCTTTGAGGTTCTCTGTGCCAACTAAATGTAGTCCCTGAGGCTTGTCAGGGTGGCCCTTGAGTCTCTTGTTTTCCCCATAAATACTAAAGTTGGTTGTGTGTAACATGGGAAGATAAGACATCGGAGAGGAAAAGCAGCTGGAATCCTCCCTCACTGTCGTTAAGTGAGCTCCTCCTGGCACTTGTGGTTTCTCTTGCTCCGTGTGTGACTGAGACAGGGGAGTCGTGCAGTGTGTAGTTCTGTCCACTCACTGCTCTGTCTTGTGGAGTACTCACCTGCTACCCGCATCCCTGCTTTTTTCCTTACAGCAGCTGTTACAGATTTTGTGTTTTGACTTGTATGAAGGGTCCCTTCATTTCACAGTCCTGGAGAATAATCAGAGTTACACCTAAATCCTTGGGAAGGAAGCAGAAGCCCTGGGGTGCCAGCAGAGGCCCTGAGCTGGCCTAGCCCGAGAGTGCCCAGCACACTGCTACAGATGCTTCTGCCTCACCTACCACAAACTTCTGTTTCCCCAACCACAAGCTTCCTTAGCTTTTTAGCTCAGGAACAATCCAGTGATCAGAAAGGTTAGGTGAGTTTTGCAAGGCTGCATCGCTGGTCAGCAGTATTGCTGGGATTCCAGCTTGTGTCTGCCTCGTGGAAGTTTACTGCACTATACACTGCGCAAGACAGGGCCTTGGCATTGCAGTGTGGACAAGTTTCAAAACATACCACTGTTCTAGAAGGTTCTTCTGGTAAAGGTGGATGACCCTATTACAAGAAAAGTACTTCTCAAGAAATTGTGCCCAAGTGTTTCAGGCCAGGGGACCAACTATTAAACCAGAGTGTCCTGTGTGCTTGGTAGCAGAATGAAGGTCTTGATCTGCCACCCCACACCCCTAGCCCCACCTCTGTGCAGCATTAAGATTCTGGGTCTCATCATCCTCTTCTTTCGTCCTTGCATAGGTGAGGCGGAAGGCCTTGCAAGAAGAGATTGATCGTGAGTCGGGCAAGACAGAGGCTTCAGAACCCAGGAAGTGGACGGTGGGTTTGCTGTGGTGGGCTTGACATCCAGAACCTAAGGTGCCCAGCTGATCAGGCACAGAGCTGGTCTGAGCCAACTTTGCTTCTTCTAAAAGGGTGCTGGTCTCTCTGCTGGGAACTGGGAGCTGGCCACTGAGATGTGCCACCTAGACTTCATGTCCTGTTGTGGATGTGGGGTGACCTGCAGATTAATCACAAGGGGCTCTTTGTAGCTGTGAAAAGTGCCCATGGAGGGCTGCTAGGAGCATGCAGGAGGTGTGGAAGTGGGGGGGGGGGGGGGGGGGGTCAGGCCTCCTAAGACTTCAGAACCTTAAGACCCTCTCTGAGAAGGTAGGCCAGGTGGGAGAGGATATGAGGGTAATGGACTTGGCTACATAGGTTGTTGGGCCTGGCCATAGCACCACCTCTCTGTAGCATGAATCTTAACTGGTCTTATCAATAAAATCAAACCTGAGGCCAGTTATTGGGGTGAATGCTGGAAGATCAGAGAAGCAGAACAAGCCACAGCTACCTCACCTGGCCAATTTCTCAGCTGATCCTGTTTCCTCAGACTGGAAGCCTCTATGTCCTAATATCCAAATGGCTCTCAGCTGAACTGTACTGCTCAAAACCTAAAAGCTTAACCAGCGAAATGCTTCTAGTTTCTGGTCCTCACGCCTTATATACCTTTCTGCTTTCTACCATCACTCCCTGGGATTAAAGGCTCGCTTTCTGGGATTAAAGGCGTGTGTCACCATGCTTGGCTGTATCCTTGAACAGCTGGATTTCTGCCTCTGGAATGCTAGGATTAAAGGCGTGTGCTACCACTGCCTATCCTAAGTATCTAGTGACTGTTCTCTGACCCCAGATAAGTTTATTAGGGTACACAATATTTTGGGGAACACAATACCACCACACCTCTCTGCCTTCAGTCAGCTGCCTAACCTCAGCCCCTAGGTGGCATCCACGCTGTGTTGGCGCTGTGCTAGGTGTGGAGGTACACAGGACCCCATCATCATAGTCTGTCTAGTGTAGTCGTTGTCCGTCTGTGGATCACAGCGCCTTGGGGGTCAAACGGCCCTTTCACAGGGGTCACCTAAGACCACCGGGAAAACACAGTTCATAACAGTAGCAAAATTACAGTTATGGGGTAGCAACAAAAATAATCTGTGGGATCATGTTGGGGTCACCACAACATGAGGAACTGTATTAAAGGGCTGCAGCATTAGGAAGGTTGAGAACCACTGCTCTAGGGCCAGGAGGGGGTGAGTGTGGGAAGTGGTATGCTGTACTAGATGATTAGAGTAAGGCTTCTCAGGGCAAGTGATACTTGTCCTAAGACCCGAGTGTGGTGGCACCAGTCCTTAGCATGCAGGGCAGTGGCAAGTGCACCCAGAAGTGGGAGTGGGCTCAGACTGGGTAACACGATAGCAGGAACTAGCTCAAGTGTCACACCAGTCCACTCCCAGACCACGGGGCAGTTTTTCCTGGGCAGTGACCCAGGGGAGCCACTGTAGAGGGTAGGTATGAGAAAGGTAATAGGAGGTAGAACAGAAAGGTTTGTAATATGTTTGGGAGATGTGGCCGTGGATTTGTTGAGTGAATTTAGGGGAAGAGAGGGGAGGGCCACACCTGGGGGCGGGGAGAGGCATCTGCCTGCTCTGTCCTTAGCTTCCTATTTTAACAGACAGCATTGATTTGGATGGAAGGCCTGAGGCCAGTTACTGACTGCCACTCTCTAGTGTCTTCTTGGAGAACCTTAGGTTCCATTCCTGTGAAATGGAGCTCCTATTATGGCCCGGGGGGTGGTGATGGTGAGTAGGTTTTTTTGTTTAGATAGGGTCTCATGTAGCCTCTTGTACTCGCTATGTAGGCAAGTATGAACTTGAACTCCTAATCCTCCTGCCTCAGGACCTTGGTCACCTGCTTGTGGAAATTCCATTGCCTTGGTGGGGATTCCAGACTGGCAGGACCAGCAGTCCTAGAAGGCCAGCTTGCCAGGCCCGGTCAGCCCTTGGCTGTGGGCTTAGATCTAATTGGTGTCACAAGCAGCATCTGCCTTAGACACTGCAGCCTAGGAAGCCACACTTACGTGGGTCACATGAGGCGGAGAGGATGTCACCAGTTGATCTTGGACAGCTGTTGTGACATCTCTTTGGACTGTCCCCACCACCGACCTGAAATGAGTGCTAGGCTGGCACTTGGCTCTCGGGTAGTTCCCAGGCCCTGTGGAGGCCAACCGTCAGGTGGTGAGAAGTAGTGCGCTGTGCACCTAGGGTGTGCTGGAGATTGTGTGCTGGGGCTTTGGCATGAGATGTGACTCAGTTCTCTGAGCTGTGTGAAGGTTAGCCCATGAGAGGAGGACTTGGAGGCTTAGGGAGAGGGGTTGTGACTTGATCAGCTACACGGCTGGGCCTTCATCCTAAGCTGCGAACTTCAACATCCCAGTCTTGGGGACCTGGGCTACCTGCCACTCTCACAGACCTGAGGTGGAGTGGGTCTTGGCGCGCGCTCACGTTTTCTAGCACAAGGGGCCTCCGTATACTGGTGATAATGCAGCACCTGTTTCCTGACCCACTCTCTTGTCCGGAGTACCTGGCTGGTGAGTGCTGGGTTGTGGGCAGCTTGTTACGTTGAGGCTGAGGGGAGGGTGATGATGTGCTCTATGCTACAAGAAGGTGAGGAAAAGGGTGAGGGAGGTGGCTCGGTGGCTAAAGTACTTGCCACTCAAGCAAGCATGAGGACCTGAGTTTGAGTCCCCAGAAGCCCCATGAAAGCCAGACACACAGCACAAGTGTCTGTGACCCCCGCCCTCCTATGAGGTGCTAGGTGTCTGTTATATGGCACTGACCTGTGGAGGTACAACCAAACATCTACTTACCCCGTATAGGGAACCAATGTCAGACCAAAGTAATGATACCACCAAAGTCAAACTTGCTGAGTAAATTAGTTTATTGGGGTTACAGGAGTATGGGTGGGGGGTTACTTAGAAGAGTATGAATAACTGAAGGGTGGCTGCATTACCAAAAGTCCGCCTCGTCATGAGTGACAGCTCATGAAAGCTGAAACTCTGGAGCACTCTATACAACTTACAGGCTGCTCAACTGGTCTGCATGCAGTCCTTCCTGCTTATGTAACCCTGAGAAGGAAGGGGCCTTGTGATCTGCTAAATTCCAGGAACTGCCTGAGACTTGTGAGTTGTTTACTTCCTGGGTCTTAATAAGGTTTCCTCTCAGAATGGATACTTAAAATCAGAGATCACTATACAGTACAGGCTATAAAGGAGGATCTCTGGAAGCTCATGGCCAGCTAATCATATGCAGCAGAAAAGTCAATAGAGAGCTTGTATCAAAAAAGGTGGAAGACAAGGCCCAACCCCTGAAATTGTCCTCTGACCTCCACATGTGTGTGCATACACACAAAATAAAACACAAGTTGGACTGTGGAAAAGTTGAGATGTGTTACAAAGTCAGGTGAGGTGTGTTTGTGTTTTGAGGTATGGTGAGTGATACATGAAGTGAAGTGAAGTTTCTCACTGTCACCCTGTGTTGGGAGAAAGAGTAGAGCTCAAATTAACTTGATGTGCAGTGATGCACTTGTTAGAAGCCAATGGTGGGCTCTCAGGCTGGTCATTCTCTAATTGGGAGTCATCTTGACACATCGCTGCCATTAAGCTTTAGGGCTCATTAGGATGGACAAAGCAGTCCATTGCTTGGCTGAGGGTGAGGGAAGCATTTGTCTTCAAGGGCAATGACAGCCTTTTACTCTCCACTCAGGGAACCCAGTTTGGCCAGTGGGACACTGCTGGCTTTGAAAACGAAGAACAGAAGCTGAAATTCCTGAAGCTTATGGGTGGCTTTAAGCATCTTTCCCCGTCATTCAGCCGCCCTCCCAGCATGTCTAGCAGGTCCAACATGGCCCTGGACAAGAAGTCTTCAGACACACTCCAACAGAATCTCCAGCGGGACTATGACCGGGCCATGAGCTGGAAGTACAATCGTGGGACTGGCCTGGGCTTCTCCTCTGAGACCCGCAAGGTCTTCTACATTGACCGGAACGCCTCCAAGTCTATCAAGTTGCAAGATTAAATTTTACTGTTCTGTTCCTGTTCTCGATCAGTTTTGCATCTGCCAAGTTGGTCTGAATTAATCACCTGCAGATAATTGAGGACCACTCACGATGAGTTTTGGACAAGCAGGTGGAAGCTGCTTGTGTGTCAGGAGCCAGTACCAGTGGCTAAAACCTCCTATTTTCTATATTAAACCTTCCATCTCTTTGGGTGAAAGTGTTTTAAGTAATAGTAGCTAGCAGTTGTTGCCATATGCAGGGCCCTGACTAAAGTGTTTTCCTGCATTGATGTCTTTAAACCTAATTATGGAATGGGTGCTATTCTCTCCAGATGCCGAAAGTTAAGTTCAGGGATAAAGTAATAAAACTGCCCAGAGTCACCTTCCATTAAGTGCCACCAAGAGTACATCACCCAGCATCACCAATGATCAGTGAATGGAGAAAGCAAGCGTTGTGCCGTGTCTTCCATGGGGACCAAGAAGTTTGTTTCCTTTTGTCCTCGTCAGGAGGCCGGTGAGGTGCACCAGGCAGGTGCGGCCGAGCTTCTTCTCTGGGAGATAGACCTCTGCGCTGGCTGCTTTCCTGCTGTCATCCTTCGGAGTGCTGTGCTTGGACCTGAGGTGCCTGTGCATTGACTGGACCTCAGCAGGGCATTGAACAGCAGGGAATCCTGCATGTGGACCCTGGCAGAGTCTCAGCAGTGTGTTCGCAGGACAGACAACCTCGGACATCTTGTGTGAAGTCAAATGTAAGGAGGAATGGAGAAGAAGGTGCTTCATCTGCTGTGGGCACCGTCCCCACCCTGAACTACACAGCAATCTTCAGGGAGCTTCAGATTCAGAGATCTGTGTGACCTGACTTTCTCTTCTACCTTTCGGCAGTGTGGCATGGGCTCACATAAGGACGTCTTCCTAACTCTTGGCCTGGCACCTCACACAGACATCCCATTGCAGGTCTGATCTCCCTGGTCTAGCCAGGAGTTTGGGGAGTAGAGGGATTGGTGCTGTACTCATCCAGGACAGTCATTCTTCTGGCTCCATCCTCAGCGTTTATGTAATTGAGCTGGTGGGAATATGGCAGAAACGATTCCAGGCTGCAAATGCCCCATAGTATTTCACAGTTGGGAGAAAACCCTTTTTACGGCCAAAGAAACTTCCAGCAACCCCTTAGGAAACCTTTTATGGCTTCATTCAGTTCTGTGTGGTTGTTCCTGTATCGGCCCCTTTAGTAAGGGAGATGCCCCTCGGGCCAGCCAGGGAGAGGATGAGGTGTTCAGTACTACCACATGGGCAGCAGTGGTGAGACTGCCTGAAGCAGCTGCCTCTACTCCACCCTGTCCCGCCCGTCGGCATGGGCCATGTCACATCCTACAGATATGTCTGCTAGCAAAGACTAGCCACTTCCCTCAGTCTTTCATAGATTTAACCTCAAGATACAAAAAAGTGGCCACCTTCATTCTCAGAGGGCAGAATTCCAAATTTGAATCAACGTCTAGACCAGTGTTTCTCAATCTGTGGGTCACAACCCCTACATGTGTCTCATGTCAGATATTTATGTTTACAATTCATAGCAGCAAATTTACAGTTATGAAGTAGCAACAAAGTAATTGTGGTTGGGGGTCAGCACAACATGAGGAACTGTACGGAAGGGTCACAGCATGACGAAGTTTGAGAACTGCTGCTTTAGATAAATTTCTTTTGGCCTTGATCAGCCAGCTGTGTGACTCCAGTAGTTCGTGTTCCTAAGAGGTCACACTCCAGTTTGAGCGTGCCTTAGCTCATCAAAAACTTGCACATGGCCATCTCTTTGGTGGTAGAGGATAGATGGGTTGCCATCTCATGCCATGCACACCTTGGTAATTCATCAAAATGTGAGGGTCAGATCTTTCCCTTCCCTGCCACATGTCTCAGTGCTGAAGGACTTGAACTTGTAGCTTGGTGTCTTGGCACTGGCTTAGGTGCTCCATTTGCTCACCCTTCTCTGTGAACAAGAATTGGAGTCTGTAAGCAAAGAAGGCTGTAGGGCCTCCTCGGGGAGTCCAGCCTCGGCTCAGCTTCTCGCAGGTATGGGCACTGAACGGCTGTGCTGCTTTTAACTAGGTTCCTGTCCAACCAGCAGTGGCTTGAGCTGCCTTACCTCTTCTCAGAACTTCAGTCTTCTGTATGATGTCCACATATGGATGTGGGAGGTCAGTGACCCTACACAGACCTTGAACTTGGCTGTCTCTCAGGCATTTCTCACCACTTACTGTTACTCTATAGTAATATCCTTGTCCACAGACACTCAAAATCTCATGATTCCTACCACTTTGTTCTTGAGCTGATTTCTGTGCAGTCTCTACTTGGGTCCATGAGGCCCTCTCCTGAGGCTACCTTTTTACACCCTGACCTGTCAAAAGTATCTCCCGATTACACAGTTGTCCCCTAGAGGAGGGTATGCACTCAGCTCTGCAAGCTTCATACTAAGGTTGTGGCAGGCAGAACACTCTGTGGCCTCACCCTTTTGGCAGAAGGGAATTAAGGTTGCTAGTCAGATGAATTTGAAATAAGATCCTGGATTACCTGAGTAGGCACTTCACAAAATTCCTTAACTAGAAAGTGGCAGAAGAGTCATTGTGGAAGAGACTTGGAAGCCACAGACAGCCACTTGGGAAGGAAAGGGCCACAAGCCAGGAACATGAGCAGCCTTTAGAAGCTGTGCGACACTTCTGCCAGAGCACCCACAAAGGAACTTAATCTTGTTGACCTTGACCTAGCCCGGAGGGACCAGTGAGTTGTGACCAACAATTGTCAGATGGTGAAAAACCACAAGAAGCCCCTGTGCATGTAATTTGTTAGAGTAGCAAGAACCAGGAACTAGGACATGGCCCTGTTTTTCATTTCCTAAGTCTCTTCATATGTTCTTCCTAAGGGGAGTAGATGCCATCCCATGCAGATGGGTTTTCAGAGGCCAGCCTGTCAGTGAGTCAGGGAAACTGCTCCAGTCCACGCTTCTGTCCAAGTCAGCAACAGGACTCTGGCCCTGTGGTGTGTGTCCCCGATGAACACTGGGAATTCTCTGGGCCAACGTTGGGAGCTGGTGCTGTCCGATAAGGCAGCCTTGAGGTGGACTCCACGGTGCTTTCTGGGTTCTGGGGTTCGTTCACAGTAGAAGAGGCATTCTCCAGTAACTGTTTTTTTATTTCTGTTTTTCAGACTGGCTCATTTATCCCAGACTGCCCTCAAACATGTAACTGAGGACCTTGAACTCTTGATCCTCCTGTCTACCTCCTTAGTACTGGGATTATAGGTGTACTACCACACTTGGTTTATGTGGGCCTTCCTTGTGCATACCAGGCAAGCATCCCACCATGACCTGAGCCATGTCCTCAGCCTCATCTGCTGTTTTGTTGTTTGGTTGTTTGGTTGGTGTTTTTTTAATGACAATTTTCTCAATTCCTTGGGGTGGTGGGGACTGTCATCAGATTGGCCTCAAATACACAACAGAAACCCTGGTTTTATATGTGTAAGCACACGAATTTATATAAAAATGATTTTAATTTCTACTTTCTGAAGTTAGTCACGTATAGTGTTTCAGAGAAAAGATTAATAAAACCCATGATTAAAGCACAAATAGTTTTGAGTGTGTGTATTTTGCCCAGGCTAGTTCCAAGTAATCCTGCCTTGGCCTCCCAAGTAGCTGGGACTTGAAGTGTGTGCCACCAGGGCAGACAGGCTATCATGGAGCACAGCTGAGCCAACACCTGGATGCATTTTCACAGGTAGTAGGTTCCAGTGTGTGAATCAGCAGTCAGTGCTGTTGGCCAAGGACAGTCAAGTGCAGCCCAAAGCCACTGGCCACCAAGGGCAGTCATAAACTCACTGAGAAACACTGCCATAGTGCCCCGCAGTGTGTGGGTCTGGATGTGCTCTCCAGGAGGAGCCCGAAGTGATTAGCTGGCAGTTGGGAGCACAGCTGATCTTTCAGGACATTTGCTCAGTTACAGGAAGAACATCGCAAAGGATCCACAGCCCAGGCTGGCCTCACACTCATGGCATCCTCCACCTCTTCCTCTCTGAAGTGCTGGGATTACAGGTGGACACCCCCATGCCTGACTAGTTACAGGACATTTCTACTGAGACTGCAGGGAGCCCCAAATGTGACCTTTCTCTTGTATTCTAAGTCCAAATGTGCTACTCGTAGTCAAAAAGGAGTCAACTGGTAGCCTGACATTTATTAGTCCCCCAAGATGTTTTATAGGACACTGTCTCTAAACTAAAGGATTGATGTACAACTAGGGGCTGCTCTTCAGCGAGTAGAAACACCCTCCAGAAAAGAAAGCCCCCATGTCCTTGGCTGCTCCCCTGCTAATAATGCCCACAGATCCTGGGGCTGAGAACCTGAAGGCCTCTGGTGTAGTCAAAATTTTCTTTGGGCCGCCAGCTTACAAATAATGACATGGAGACTTAGTAATTATGAAGGTTTGGCCTTAGTTTAGGGGTTTTTTTCCCCCAACTAGGTCTTTTAACTTAAATGAACCCATTTATACTAATCTACGTTCTGCCATGTGGTGTTAACCTTCCTCTGTACTGCTCATCCTGCTTCCTCCATGTCTGTCTGGGGACTCTACCTTTCTTTTTTCCAGAGTCCTCTCTGTCCCCAGAAGTCCCACCTAACCTCTCCTGCCTAGCTACTGGCCATTCACCTCTTTATTATACAAATCACAGTGATACATCTTTGTTGTAGAATATTAGTTTAAGATGTGCTACATTCGTTTATATTGTGGAATATTTGTTTAATGATACAAAGATGTGTTGCATTCTTTACGTTGCATTTGTTTAACTCTGTACTTTGCCTTCCTCAACACCTGATTGTCTACTAGAGCCAAATGGCCAATAGCAAGGCAGGAGAGGGGTAGGCAGATCTGACAGGCAGAGAGAATAAATAGGAGGAGAAATTTTTAAGCTCAAAAAAAGAGAGGGAGGAGTGAGAAAAGGAGGAGAGGAGGACACCAGGGGCCAGCCACAGTGCCAGCCATGGAGTAAAAAGGGAAGAAAGATATATAGCGTAAAAAAGGGTAAAAAGCCCAGAGACAAAATGTAGTTAAAGAGAAATAAGATAATTTTAGAAAAACTGGCTAGAAACAAGCCAAGCTAAGGCCAGGCATTTATAAGTAAGAATAAGTCTCCATGTATTTATTTGGGAGCTGGGTGGCAGCTCCCCAAAGAGTAAAAAACCAACTACACATCTTCACACAGTGTACAAATATCCCACAACACTCTTGTGCAAACACACACTAAGACGTTGCTATCTGAAGAACAAGATTGGGTTTTAATGCTCTGTCAGTTCCCCCCTGCTATCAGAACAGTCAGAAGGCAAAAGCTTTCAATCTGTATAAAAGTAAGAGTAACAAAAACTAAATTCCAGGAGTTAACGGCAGCCAAGCAGGTCTTCCAGGACAGTGGCACCGGGCCCCCCAGGCCAAGTACTCAGGTCCTGGTCTGCAGAGGGAGCCTCATGGCCAGCTCTGTCAGGTGACTCATGTCGGGTTGTTTGCTCCGCTTCTTGATGTAGTCCAGAGTCTTCACCTAGAACAAAGAACTCCATCTTGGGTTTGGCTCCACAGCTCCGACCTGGGGCTGGAGCCTCATCTGATTGCCCTAGGTGAGCTGACCCTGCCTAGCTGAAAACAGGGTGTCTTCTGAGGGATAGTGGGAGAAGCAAAATACTCCTAAAATCAGATTGCAGGGGGTGGGGGAGTCTGGGGATGGAGCTTACACGCACAAAGTCCTGGGTTTGCTCCCCAGCACCACAGAAACTAGGTAGAGGCAAGGGGATCAGAAGTTCAAGTTTAAGAAGAGCCTGGGGTACCTAAAACTTTGTCTCAAAGGAAAAGAATTAGATTTGGCTGTGGCCAGAAGTGGGTGACATTTTCAAGCAAGTGGTTTTTTACCGAGGGGGTGACTGGGAATGCTTTCTAGCACTAGGAAGTAGCCCCAAAGAATGTTGGGGTCTGGCACCCATCTCGGGTGACAGGGCAGCTTGCAGTGCTGCTGATGCTGTGTCAAGGTCAGTACCACTCTGACTGGCAAGGGCCCTGGTGCTTACCATGGTCCTTGTGTCTGCACAGCCGTGCCTCTGTGCCAGGTGCCACAGGTTGACGGAGAGTTGGTTCAGCTTATTGTTACGAAGGTCCCCATGGGCTAGGATACTATTGAAGAAGGAGAGGCCCAGCAAGCTCTGGCGCTTCAGAGCCTGGAAGAGAGAAGGGAGGATATGACCTTGACCTGGCACATGGGATGGGCTCAGTGTAGACGTCCTTGGTAGGGTGGTCATGGGTCCAAAGGCCAACTTTGCCATGTGTTTGCTGAGCCCACCCTGCACCTGTAAAATAACAGTGAGATCCACAACACATGGAGTGAATGAGGACAGAGGCACCACAAGCCCAAGCTGTCACTGTGGTTAGGAGAGACCCAACAGTCACTGGGTTGGGAAGTGAAGCCTAACGG